ATAGTGACTAATTGTTATCAGGACTGATTGTGAGGGTTGGAAATGTAAAGGTAGACGTTTTATAGCAAGGAGGGGAGTGATTAACTTTTCAGTCTAGGATCAGAGGTCCCTAGGACAATCAAGGGAGAAGAGCAGAGAGCAGGACCCCACCCAGAGAAGCAGTGATGCCTGAAATGGAGGCAGAGATGATGACGTGGAGCGATGGAGCAGCTGGAGACTTTAGCTCCAGAGAGGGAGAGCGACTGTGTGCTGAAGACCTGGTTGATGATGCATGGAGGGGATTGTAACCATGGCAATGAGACGATATAAGATAGAATGAATGTTAAAACTAATGTTCTCCCATGTAAACTATCACATAATTCACAATAAAACATTTAAGAAAAAATAAATAAATAAATAAAATTTTTAAAAATTATCTTAACACACAAAAATTAGAAATAGAAAGAAATGTCTCAAACAATTCATATGCCTTAAATAGTGCTTATGAAATATTAAGTGAAATTCCTAAAAACTTTGAAACATTTAACATGCTTTACCTTTGGTAAATATCTCGCCTTTTATTGACTTCTAGAGTCCCTTCCAATTGGCTCTCAGAAAGTAAACCATCAACCTATAACAAATGGAGACATTTTAAACTATTGTATTATTAAATATCATGCCATCTTAGGAAATAAATGTCAATCTTCTTCCCCCCAACCCCAATATTTTATAATAAACACTTTTAATTTCACTTTGGGTGTTCACTTTGAATTTTACCATGAACATACATATATTGTACCTAGCATTTTAAATTGGTCACACATTTATCCTTTCCCCTATTTATCCATCAATCCATCTTATGTTTTATGCATTTCAAACTAAACTGAAGTCCTCAATACATTTCCCCCTAAATAATGTTCCATAGATATCACCAAGGAGTCCTGGTGTGGTGCTGTAGGATAATCACTGGACCACAAGGTTGGTTTGAACCTCAAGGTAGTCAGTTCAAACCCACCAGCCATTGCTCAGAAACCCTATACAGGGTCGCTAAGAGTTAGAACTGATTCGACAGCACGTAATAAGATATCACCAAAGTTCCATGTTGGATATAAAATTTATATACAATGAAATGTACAAATCCTAAGTGTACATTTACTCAGTTTTGATAAATGCATATACCCATGTAACCCAAACCCTATCAATATAAAGAAAAGTACCATTACCTTAGAAAATTTCTTTAATCCACACTTTAGTAAATCTACACCTCATCCCTCCAGAGACAAGCCTGTTCTGATTTTCTCACCATAACTTAAGTTTTGCCTTCTCTTACACTTTACATAAATGGATTCATACCATATGTATTCTTTTGCGTATTCCTTGTTTCACATGGCACATCTTTCAAAATATATCTATATGGTTATGGGTGTCATTGGTTTATTCCTCTTTATTGATGAGTAGTATTTATTGTGGAGTCCTGGTACGGTGCTGTATGATAAGCACTGAACTGCTAACTGCAAGTGGTTCAAACCCACCAGCTGATCCTCGGTGTCAAATTCAGGGTCACTATGAGTCAGAACTAAGGAACTCTGGTAGCGCAGTGATTATGAATTGGGCTGCTAACCTCAAGGTTGGCAATTTGAAACTACCAGCTGTTCCACAGGAGAAAGATGAAGCTTTCTGCTCCCGTAAAGATTTGCAGCCTCAGAAACCCTTGGCAGGATCACTATGAGTCGGAACCGACTCCACAGTATTTAACAACAACAACAACATGAGTCAGAACTGACTCGATTGCACTTAACAACAACAAAAGTATTTTATTGTATGAATATACCACAAAATTAGTTTATCCTCATTTTCATATCTTGACTTTTCCAGACATTCAATTTTGCCAATGTACACACAAAAGAAGTACATACTGCTTCTGGTCTCTTTGCTATAATTATGTAGAAAAGATAGAGAGTGGATGAAAAAAGATAAAATTTCACTAGCTTTTACTCTACTTTATCTATTTGACACCTGTCTGAGTATTTTTTTCCCAAAATTTACACAATCATTCAGCACAGGTATGACCCAGGTAAGCTCGTGATTACTTGTCTGCAGGACACCAACTTGAAATAATCTGCTTCTTTTTTTTTTTTGCTTCATGTGTCCTCTGTGGGGACAGGGACAATTAGCTAGTACTATCAAAGAGCCCTTTCCATACATTTGAATGCATCAAAGTACTCCTGTGTCATTTCTGCTTCAGGATCAATAATCCTTGCAATGGTTTTGTTTTATTTTTTCTTAATAATAATAATTTCTGTTTACTTTTAAACATTCTTCTGATTCTCCTAATGTCCCACTAAGTTTAAATTAGATACAGAACCATATTAAGAATCTAGCCAAAACTCAGAGTAATATAAGTCAATGCCCCATCAAGTTTCATTTTTAGAAGAGTATTTTGGTTTTGTTGCACCATTATTATTCAAATACAAAGTCCTTTAAGTATTTATCCCTCAAATCCTCAGTACTTCAACTGGGTAAAACATGGACATTCAACATATTTCTTGCAAGCCAAAAATTATACAATAATTTTATTTCATAGAAACAATACTTGGTAATGCATCAACGAATTAAAAAGTAAAGGTAATAACGTGAAAGGAAAATTTCACAAAATAAATGAACAATCTATTAATGACAAAACTATATTTTTCTTATTTTAAAAATAATATATATTTGGTGTTGAAAAAATGTGACAATGTCAAAAAGTATAAAGAGAAAGTCCTAGTGTGGCACTGTGGGCTGTGTCAGATGCAAAGTCGTTTGAACTGCAAGGACGGTGGTTCAAGCTCACCAGCTGCTCCTTGGAAACCCTATATAGGGTTGCTGTGCATTGTAATCGACTAGATGGCACTTAACAACAACAACAAAAATAATCATTGGCATTCTACTATACAGGCACTATTTGGTATGTTTCCTTGGATTTTCTATGTATGTTACATACAGAAAGAATTTTATTTAAATATATATATGCAATTTCTAACCTGACATTTTATCACAAGTATTTCCCAACACATTAAAGTCTCTTTATTAACAAAATTTTGATCACAGTATCATATTTTCATTAATTTATCCATTCCTCTATCATTGATCATTTAAGTTGCATTCAGTTCCTTCTATTGTCATTAATATTATAATAAACATTTTTTATATTTCAATATCGATCCCAATTTTTTTCCCCATTACTGCAGCATATAGCAGAATCCAGGAAATGGAATTGCCAAGCTTAAGACGTATGAATATTTACTACATCTTGTCAGACTGCTTTCCAGAAATGCTAGATCATATGTGTCTGGTTCATCACACCGCTCTAGGTAATGAATACTGTGCTTTAAAAATCTTTGTGATGTTTTATTTCCTTTGCAATTACTGGATTATTTTTGAAAGTAACTTTTCTCATCAGTCACTTGAATCTCCTCTTCAGTTCATGTCCTTAGCGCAGTTTAAGATTCCAACGTTCTACTAACGTGTTAAGACTAGTCCTTTACTCTTACTTCGTTTGAATAACTGTGATGCAGTAACAAGCAGCCTTCACTGGGCGAAGACTCAGGAGAGGGCCTGGCATGAAGAGAGGGGTTGGGTGCAGAGTCGAGTTGGAAACAGTTATGGTAAAAGTGTAGATTTAGGGTCAGAGGGTTGAGGGAGTTGTTAGAGTCAGTGGGAAGGCTAGGGAGTGTTGGCTGATGGTCAAGATTTGGGGGAAGTTTAGTCTTTCGTTGGTTAGTAGTTGGGTTGTGAGCATCAGGGGTTAGGATGCGGAATTGGTGCTGAGATGTTGGGGGATGGGGTAGTTGGTTGAGGGTAGGCTTCAAGGATTAAGGTGGGATCACGATGGGTAAAAGCCGTCAGTGCAATAGAACCCCCATCTCTGGCCCTCCTCCAGATCCCGGGCCACCTCATCTTTCGCACGGACCTTCGCTGGAGAGGCAGACTATACCTGTTGTTTCAGCTCCCGGTTGCGGCGCTGCAGGGCCTGGAAGGGATCTCGTGGCCGCTTCGCCAGCATCTCCCTCACCGCTGGCCGAATCTGTGCCGAGACGGGTGCCGGTCACCAGGGAAACCAAAGCGGCGGCGCCCGACGGTGACGCCATTGCTGCGCGCCCGCCCTCTCGAACCGTTGAGCCTAGGAGGCGGGGCGGGGAAACTACTGGGATAATTTTTCTCACCAGGTAATCTCCATTTGTCCACTCCCACCCTGACCACCTACCATCCCCCCTTCTGCTGACCGCGCATTCCTAGATCGTTTGGGTGGGGGTTGAGAGCGAACCTGCCAGTGTCTGAAACTACCTGGCCGGTCATTCTTGTTCTGATGCTGTTTTATGGTATTTACTTTCTGACACCAGTTCTGCTCATCTTAAAATACAATTTGTGCATCTTAAACTCCCATTATCTGTAAGGATAGTTTTCGATGTGGCCTTCATGGGATATATGGCTTTGTACATACTTGAAGACAGTCTTGGGGTCATGGTGCAGCGCTGCAGATTAATGCACTGGACAGCAAGATCAGTTTGAACTGCAAGGTCGGCGGTTCAAACTCACCAGCCGCCCCTCGGAAACCCTTTACCGGGTCATTATGAGTCGGAACCGACTCGACGGCATTTAGCAGCAACAACAGCAAGTCTGTGGAGTCCTGGTGTGGCACTGCGGGTTAATGCTCTGGACTGTAAGGTGGGTTTGAACCGCAAGGCCCATGCATGGTTCAAGCTCACAAGCTATTCCTTGGAAATCCCATACAAGGTCACTATGGGTCGGAATCAACTTGACGGTAACAGCAAGTCTGTGAGGAACTTATATTTTACATTGATTCTTAACCAGTTGCCCTTGAGTTAATACTGACTTATGGCCACCCCGTGTGCGTCAGAGTAGAACTGTGCACTATATGATTTTCAATGGCTGATTTTTCAGTAGATTTCAGGCCTATCTTCCAAGGCACCTGTGTCTACTAAAACATCCCAGCCTTCCTATTAGCAACTGAGCATGGTTTACACCACTCAGGACATTGACTCTTGGGGAAATTGTAATAGAATTTCCCCAGGTGGAACTGCATCCTATAAATACAGTTCCCAAACTGGACTATGCTAGTTGGATGTGAATGAGAATGATGATCTGAGCTCACCTTCCAAATGATGAGTGGCATTAATACAAAAGACTGTTTTCAGTATTTCTGTCAATGCTACAGGCCAGGCTGCCAAGTTCTCCCAACCTCTTGTTGTATAATATACATAGAGGTCACTCAATTGTCCCTCCCACACCACATCACCTAGATTAAGAAATGTTGTAGTCTTCCCCTCCTTTTAGCCCCTAACTTCAAATGTGTAAACTCTATCCTGTTAACTTCTCACAGCAAACACTTTTTTTTTATTAAGATTTTATTTTGAGGTTTACATGGAAGAATATGTTTTACATGCCTCCTATCCTATTTCATTTCATTGCAATGATTACAATCCCCTCCATGCATCATCAAATAACCAAAAGGTACACCCCACAGGCTTGCCCCACCCCCGGCCGTCAGCACACAGACCCTCTCCCTCCCTGAGTTCAGTGTCCCCAGCTGCTCCACCTGTCCATGTCATCCTCTCTGCTTCTCCGTTCTTCTCACTTGATGGTCCAGGGACCTCCGCTCCTGGGCTGCAAAATCAGTCACTCCCCTCCTTTTGTCAAAAAACATTTACTTCTACATTTCGTACTCTCACAGTCAGTCCTGATGGCAATTATTCACTGTTGTACCACAAGAGTCGTATCCCCATTTCCTTTTTCAGCCCTGTCCCAACAGATTGGAAATCATTCGGTGGAGATTCTACTTTCCCCGGCCCTGTCCAGAACTAGACTCCAGCTTGTAAGCTAGTCACTTCTTGCCTTTATAGGCCCCTTCATTTTGGATAGCCAATGTCTAAGTTGCCCATCCCTGTCAACACTGTGTACTGAGAGGTGGGAGTGATACTCGCTGGATACTCCTGTTTTGAGCTATTACATCCATAAGTAAGGAGCTCTGGTAGCGTAGTGGTTACAAATCGGGCTGTGAACTGCAAGGTCAGCAGTTCGAAACTACCAGCTGCTCCACGGGAGAAAGATATAAATCCGTAAAGATTTACAGCCTCGGAAACCCTGTTCAGGGTTGCTATGGATTGGAACCGACTCGACGGCACTTAACAACAACAAACATCCATAAGTATAGGTAAAGTTCATCAAATTATAGCAGGTTACTCTTTCCCGCCCCCACTTCTTTCTTCTTCTAGTCGAGTTTTGATCATCCAGCCATCAAAGCCAGGTCAAGTGGGTACTATCTGCAAGTATGGGTGTTCTTGTGCATCTCCCCTCACTTCATATCAGCTGGACACTTCACTCTCTGCCCTAGTCCTCTGTGGCCATGTCACTGCCTCTGGGCCCAGGAGTCCCTGGGTCCTGCCGTACTGCTGGCCATCCAGGTCTCCACCCAGGTTCACAGGGGTCTATTGAATGTGGTCGGGTTTAGCTTGCACCTTCATTGCTGGTTTTCCCCCCTCTTCCCCGTATGGGTGATCAACGTGGTTATCAGCCAGACCACCTGCCTGCTCATGTTTCAGTCTTGGGAGTTTGCTCTGAGGGGTCCTAACCACTTGGCTTGATGGCTCCTGGGTGAACAACGTATTTGTTCTTGTAGTAATCAGACAGCTGTTATTGTTTTGGATTTTTCCTGCCAGTCTTTCTTTCACTAAGTGTCTTCTGTTCTTTTCGCCGCTCCAGGCTGGTCTACTCATCCTTTCCAGTGGAAATTTCCTACCTCAGACAATTCTGGATGGGGTTTTGGATTCCATCTATGGTCTTATGCATTGTAAAGGCTCCACAGGAAGCCTTTCACTGGGCAACTTCTAGCCCCCTTTAAGGTATTCCAACTATTTGTAGGCTGAAGACGGACTTACAAGCTTTCTGTAGCCATGTTTCTGGCTATTCCTTTCTCCCCTACTCTAGTGTCTATTTTACAATGGTAGGCAAGGGAAGCCAAGATTCAAAAGACAGCCAAGCATCTTAACATTATTCCCCTTTTACCCCTTGAAACCATGCCTCAATCCCTGTATCCTGGAGCCCTGTTGTTCCAAGGTTGTGCATACCTCATCATTTACCTCTGTCCCACTTAGCCCATGCGAACCTGTCTAACTGTTCTCCCATCAGCCTTGTTCTTCCATTTCCCTCCCCCTTCTTGTGTATTGTTACCCCCCTCAGCACCCAAGCTATCCTGTGTCTAATCCCTCCCCTGTGCTCTATCATCCTCTCCCTCCCTCCTCTCCTCTCCTCCCATATATCCTGGTGATCAACGAATATATATATATTTAAATTTTCTCCCCTTTTCGGGTGGGTTCTTTTTCTTAGTCTTTTACAATAATGGTCCTATGAAGAATTTCTCCTTTTGTGACTAATTTCACTCTGTATGATGTCCTCAAGGTTCATCCATGTTATGTGGTGGCTTGCAGCTTCTTTGTTGTTCTTCAGGGTAGCATAGTATTCCATTGTATGTACCAGTTTTATTTATCCATTCTTCAATTGATGGGCACTTAGGCTGTCTCCATCTTTTTGCTATTGTAAATAGTGCTGCTATGAATATTGGTGTGCATGTATCTACTCATATTATAGCTCATATTTCTTGTGAGTAAATACAAAGTAGAGGAAACAGCAAACACTTTTTGCCTATATTTGGACTATATAATGGAATGATGCATTGTATACGTGTGTCTTTTCTTCATGCAGTATCATGGACATGAGATGCATCTATATTGTGTGTAGGGGTAAGTTATCCTCAGTTCTCTGGCATCTTGTTGTATGGTGGTGCTGTTAAGTGCTGTCTGTCGAGTCAGTTCCAACTCGTAGTGACCCTGTACAGGGTTTCTGAAGAGCAGCTGGTGAGTTTGAACTGCCAACCTTGTAGTTGTTGTTAAGCGCCATCCAGTTGGTTCTGACCCATAGGGAGCCTGTATAGGGTATCCGAGGAACAGCTGGTGGGTTTGCACTATCAACCTTGCAGCTCAAACTGACCTTGCAGTCCAGCACATTATCCTGCAGTGCCATAAGATGCTAACCTTGTAGTTAGCAGTCTTAGTTTGTCTACAGCGACATACTAGGATTCCCATTGCATGATATAACTTAATATATTCATTCTTTCTACTTTTGTTGTACATTTGGATAGTTCAACTTAGGGCTATTGTAAATAGTACTAAGGATATTCTGGCACATCTTTTGGTGAACATATGTATACATGTTTGTGATTAGCCTAATAAGATACAGCTTAGTTTCTAGTTTTCCAAAATGATTATAGTATATAGCAGCATGTTGAGTTTTTGTTCTGCTTCTTTAATTTCTCCATTATGGCTCATGTTATTAAAAGTTAGTCAGGCATAATATTTCCATCAAAAATGTTTGCAACAAGAAAATACTGAGTTCTAGAAAATATTTTAGGAGCCCTGATGGTGCCATGGGTTAAACATTAGGTTGATGTTAAAATAGCTAAAAGGTCTGCAGTTCAAACCCACCAGTCACTTTGGGAGAGAAAGATGAGACTCTATCCCCATATTTAATCTTAGGAAATCCTAAGGAGCAGTTCACTGTAGCTTATAGGATCGCTGAGTCAAAACTGAGTCGATTACCATGGGTTTTGTGTTTCAGTATAAAATATTTTAAATGGATTAAAAAACTGAGCCCTGAAAGGAGTCAGCCAGGCTTCGAAACAATCTGTGCATCTTTTCTTCTGAAAAAGGAAAGCTAATGAAACAGAGCCTCAAAACCAGTGGTTTCCACCCTCAGTTGGACGTCAGTTACCTGAGCATCTTTAAAACCCTAACATACAAGCCATACCCTGTTAAGTGCTGCTGAGTCAGTTCTGATGCACAGCAACCCTATATAGTGTTCCCAAGGAGACTGGTGGGTTTGAACTGCCAACCTTGTGGTTAGCAGTATAGTATATCCTACAGCAAGTCTGTGGTAATAAAATTTGGCTGAAGTGATGTGGAATGGAGCAGAAGGTATGGCGAGTCCAATATGACAGAAAAGGAGACAGGGTAGGAAAGCAGAAGCAAGCCAAAACAGGTAGTATTGTGATCAACTAGGAGTGGCAAGTGGCGGTAATGTTTCAGTGAGTCAGCTGGTTCATTTCCAGGGTACATGACTGGCACTGTGACCCCTGGCACATAACCTCCTCAGTGTCAGTTTTTACTTATAGGGAAAAAGTATCATCTCCATGCAAGACCGAATTTTCATAGGAAAGGCAGGCACATTTAAGTAGGGCAAGGGATGGAGGGCTTGAGAGAAACTGAGTGGTAATGGAATATTGCCCAACTCTAGTGGAATTGTGCCTCACAGAGCTAGGGCACACAGGTGCAGTATAAAGAGGCAGGAGGCAGAGAGAAAGATGGAGTAGGATATTGTTGATGAGTGCCATCCAACTGGAATCGACTCATAACGACCCTGTACAGGGTTTCCAAGGAGCGGTTGGTGGGTTTGAACCGCCAGTTTTGCAGTTAGCAGTTCAGTGCTTATCCTGTAGCACCACAGCAAGTAGGGTAGGGTGACTGAATAGCCATAATAGACTTGGCAGTGAAATAGCAACATGCCCAGAAGGGCAGGACTGACAGAAACATTAAGGTGAGACAGGAGCAGAGGATAAGTGTGTCGAGGTGCTACAGAGAATTAGCAGGAGAGAATGGACATTGGAAAGACCAGGTCCACCAAGAAGGTAAAGCGGCACATGCACAGGCCCAAACAGGCAGAACTAGTCCCATCACAACCCACAAGCTTACCCCGGCACATTTCAACAGTCTGAGGGTAGTATGTGCCTCAACAAATGTACTTTGTCTCAAAGCTTCTCAACTCTTGGAGCCTCAGTGAGGGCTGGCAACTGAGAAGATTCAGCAAACTACAGCCTAGATGGAATGGAGCTCTGAATTTCACACAATAACGTTAAAGTAAGGCAGAATGGCCACCATAAAATGAAGAAAAAGAATGATTACTTTTTGTGGAAATAACTTTTCTAAATGTTCATATGCTAATATGGAGCTGTTTAATTTACTGTGACACGAATTTCACAGCGGCTACATACAAGTCCTGGTGTGGTGCTGTGGGTTAATGCACCAGACTACAAAGCCGTTTAAACTGAAAAGTCGGCAGTTCAAGCTCACCAGCGACTCCTCGGAAACCTTATACAGGGTCGCTTTGGGTCGGAACCTACTCGACGGCACTTAACAACAACAACACACTAGTTGCATGCTCTAGAAAGCACCCATCCTTACAAATAAAAAGCAACGAGGGATTGGTCACTCACTCCTAATTTTTAGATTTGACTGGGATTTATCACTAAGTTCTATTCAAGAGAGTTTTTCCTTCATATGTATATAGTCCTTAAATGACACTTTTCCCAATAAAACCTTAAACTCTGTACTTAAAGTATAACTTCATTCTTAGAAGTATAAAAGTCTTACATACACCATCGGTTATTTTTAGACAGCCCCATGCATTCCCAAACAGGCCTAGTGTAGCACTGACTAAAAGGACCCATCATAGTCCTTAGGCCAACTCTGCTTTGTGGTTGTACCAGAGAAGTGGCTGGCACAGTTTCCATAAGGAGAGCTGTTCAAAAACCCTAACATACCCATTTTGAGAAACCAGTTCTCTTGGCCCAGTAACCATGAGCCCCGGTAGCATAGTGGTTATGCATTAGGCTAGTAACCGCAAGGTAATCAACTTGAATCTACCAGCTGCTATGCAGTAGAAAAATGAGGTTTTCTGCTCCTGTAAAGATTTACAACCTCGGAAGCCCTCTACAGGGCCACGATGAGTCGGAACCAACTCACCGGCACACCACCACCACCACCACCGTTGTGACGCTATTGGACACAGTAGAACTGCCCCATAGGGTTTCATATCCAAGGCTGTAAATCTTTTACAGAAGCAGACAGCCACAACTGTCTCCTGCAGAGTGGCCGGTGGGTTAGAACCATTGACCTTTTCATTGGCAGCTGAGCATTTTAAGCACTGTGCCACCAGGACTCCACTGACCCAGTAAACTACAAGACAAACAAGAAAACCTGTCCCTTTCCCTTTTGAAAAAAGGTTCAAAGATGTTTACATTTATTTTTATTTTAAAAATAAAATTTCTTCATAATGTGCAGGAGGAGTATTTCTTTCCAGTGTTCTGTATCCATGATTAACATGCTGATGGAAACAAATACAAACAAAACAAATTAGAAACACACAATTGTTAACTTCAAATGATTATATTCTGTAATTAAAACAGGAACTATAAGATCTGATGTTACAAATAATTAAACAGGGGCCCTGAAAAGGTATGAGACACAACTCTAGAAAATGCTAAAACTAGGTGGGTGATTCCGGACTTCCAGGCCACTGTTTCTTCCATTGGGAAAGGTGGTCAATGACTTCAAAATTCACATTTAAGATTTTTTATTAAAATAAAATCTTAATAAAAGGACCCATCATGGTCCTTAGGCCAACTCTGCTTTCATGTTTTATTAAGATTATAAAACATGAAGCCAAATTCGTACTTCAGTGCTACTTAGAATGTTATCAAGAAGAATAATGAAGAAAGAGGGCAGGTACACACCAACCACCACCATAGTCCTTTTTTGTCATTCTTCCTAATTTTCCATTTTGAAGTTTAATGTTGTCAAGGTGCAACCACACATAGTATTACTAAATAGCAAAGCCATTGCCATCCAGTCGGTTCTGACTCATGGCGACCCATAGGGCAGACTGTAAGTCTTTACAGGACCAGAAAGTGTCATCTTTCTCCCACGGAGCGGCTGGTGGGTTTGAACTGCCGATCAGCCCAATGCTTATGCCGCGGCACCACCAGGGCATTGTCTTCCCATTAAATACTCACAGTAAACTGACGTACAACACCAAAGCCAAGTTATTACGTAAACAAAACTTCCTCGTGCTTCTGGTGTCTGGGAGCATGTCACTTACTGCATTCTACCCAAGTCCCTCCGGCCCCAAATGTCCCTTACACGTACTGAACAGTTCACCGCCCTCGGAGAAGAGCCGGGCCCGGTGTGTGTGCGCGGATGTGTGGCGAACCGGGCTGCAGCCCAACGTGGGTGACACGATGGGGCAGATGGGACTAGAGATGACGGATCTTAGGCCAGGTCTAGTTTCTTCTGTGTTACCGCCAGCTTGTCCTGCAGCCTCTTTTTCCTCCAATCCAGATAGCGTCTCCGAAGTCGGTTCGCCTGCCAGCCTACGAGTATTCCGGAGGCAAAAGCCACCAAAACGGATACCTGCAGCGTCCTCTCTGACACATCCGCCATCGCAGCCGCAGGATTTGCAACCCGGCCTACCGTACGGCGGCGGGGTCAAAAGGCGCGGCGCGTTCGCGGGCGGGCGTAGGGAGGGGACGGGGCGAGGCAAGGCGGGGCGGGGCATAGAATCCTTGTAGAGTCGGAAAACTCGCAGATTCGTTCTACTCTCCTGCTCCTGTACCTTTCATTATGAGTTAGTTATTTGACATTAATTAGGTATTGTTTTGTATGATTAGCTAAAGATAGTGGTGTCTCTTACCAACCCGATTTTAAGCTTTTTGAGAACAAGCCCCAAACCCCTTCATTATCTCTCAACACTAAAATGCAAGTCATCTGTAACTTTATATTTGCTGTGGCGCTGTGGGTTAATGCGCTCGACTGAAAATTCGGTTTGAACTGCAAGTTTGGTGGTTCAAACTCACCAGTTGCTCTTTGGAAACCCTCTATAGGGTCGTCATGGGACAGAACCGACTCAACAGCACTTAACAACAAACATTAAAACAATACTAAACAGGTGCCATTAATATTTTTCATTAAATACACAAATATGATCATGTCAACATGTAATAAATTTAAACAAAATTAATGACTATTGTACATCTTTTTTTCATACTATGTTTTCGAAATGCAATGTGTGTTTTACAATTAACAGCACATCTCAATTCAAATACTAATTTTTCAGTGGAAATACTTGACCAGTATTACATAAAATGTACAGTTGAAAAAGTAGATCCACGTGCTCAAGTTTTTCCAAACACACTTAAAAGCTTTTCTATAGAGCCATTGCCATGCTGCAATGAGTTTCGATGACAGGTAAGACGGAGGAATTCGCACTGACCGCCTAAGACAGGCAGCGTCCCTTAAACAAATAATAAATAAGGGG